GAATCGGGAGCTGGGAATGCTCCGGGAGTGAGGGGATGCTCTTAGAGCTGGGAATGTTCTGGGAGATGGGAGTGCTCCGGGAATCGGGAGCTGGGAGTGCTCCAGGAGCTGGGAATGCTCTGAGAGCCAGGGAATGTTCTGGGAATCGGGAGCTGAGGGGGCTCCAGGAGTGAGGGGATGCTCCAGGAGCTGGGAGTGCTCCGGGAATCGGGAGCTGTTCCTGGAACCGGGAGCTACTCCGGGGGTGAGGAGGATGCTCTGGGAATCGGGGAATGTTCTGGGAGCTGCTCCGGGAGCCCAGGGATGCTCCGGGAGCTGGGAATGCTCTGAGAGGCAGGGAATGCTCCGGGAATGAAGGAACGCTCCGGGAGCTGCTCGGGGAGCGGTGGAGAGGAAGAGCCGGGAGCAGGAGGGATGATCTGGGAGCAGGGGGGATACTCCGGGAGGGAGGGAGGGGATACAGGGATAAGGAAATGGGGATGGGGGGTGCCGGGACGAGCAGGGATCCAGGGACGAGGGGATGCGGGGATTGGGGTAAACGGAATTCAGGGATTGGGGAGAAAAGAATTCAGGGATTGGGGAAAACAGAATTCGGGGATCGAGGATACCGGGGAGGCAGAAATTAAAGAAAACGGGGAATTCAGGGATTGAGGAAAATGAGGAATTAGGGAAAACAGAAAATTCAGAGATCGGGGATGCCGGGGGATTCAGGAATTAGCGAAAACGGAATTCAGAGATGGGGGATGCTGGGGAATTCCGGGATTGGGGATGCCGGGGGATTCAGGAATTAGGGAAAATAGGGAATTCAGGGATCGGGGATGCCGGGAAAGGGGCAGGACACGCGGCAGGGGCTCCTCACTTGTAGAGGCTCCGTCCCCCGATGGTTTCGAGGTTGGAGAAGACGCTGAAGTTGTGCATGTGCTTGGGCCAGGACTGGATGTTCAGGTACCCTGCGGGGACAGCGAGGGCTCAGGGCGGCCCCGGGGGTCCCGAGGGGTCTCGGGGGGGTCCCGGGGGGGGCCCAGGGGGGTCTCAGCACCCCCAGCCCCGCTCCTCACCCGTGATCTCCCGCACGGTCCGGAACACGTTCAGCTTCTCCGGGTCCAGAGCTGAGATGTTGCGCCAGGGGTCCCTGTGGGGCCGGAGCAATCAGTGGGGCTGAGCTGGGGGGGGCTGCACCCCCTAAACGCCCCCTGACCCCCCCCCAAATCCCATCCCTCACCCCTCCAGGCCCGTGATGAGGAAGTCGAGGTTGCCCAGGATCTTGGTGCAGTTGATGAAGGTGTCGATGTTGCTGGAATCCACGGTCTGGTATTTGCTGCCGGCTCCGGTGCCCTCGCAGGCTGTGGGGTGAGGGACAGGGGGTCAGGGGGGGTCCCACAGACCCCAGACCCCCCCTTTTGGGCACCCTGGGCCACCCCCACCCCGTACCTTTGGGGCACAGCCCCGCGCAGGGCTCGCAGATCTTCAGCCCGTTCTTCTCCACTTCCATCTTGTCGTTGGGGCAGGCGCGCACACACGAGCTCTGATCCACCACGAAATTGTCTGCGGGACACCCCCGGGGTCACCTCGAGCGCCCCCAAAACCCCCCGGAGACCCCGAAAATCCCCCCCCGGATCCCGACTCACGGGGGCACTCCCGCACGCAGACCCCCCCGTACTGGTACTTGGTGTCGGGGTTGGGCTCCAGCTGGAAGGTGAGCTTGTTGTAGATGAGCGGCTGCGGGCACAGCGGGACACACGAGCCGCTGTCGTTGAAATGGCGGCAGGCCTGGGAGGGACAGACGGACAGATGGACATGGGATGGACAGATGGACACGGGG